AGCCTGGAGTTTGGCGAACAGAGCCTCCCGGCTCCGTTATAAAATACGGGCTTGCCTGTGGAAAGCTGCCACCGAATCGAGGCTCGAATTGCGGTTTGCTAGTTCGCAGGACCTCGGAAACATGGGAGCCTGGAGGGCTGGAAGGAGTTAATCGCCGCCTTAGAGCACGGCACCTCTCTTTTGCGGAGGCGAAAAAAGATATCAGCGAGACAAGAGAGTGACTAATGGGGGGATAAAGGGGTCTATTTTCTTTCCCAGACTATTGGGATGAAAAGAGGAAGGGGCTAAGTAGGAAAAAGGGTCCCAGAAGGATTGAAGCACTCTTGTTTCCAAACGATGGCTCCTGCCCACTTGTTTGTAAGGTCTTTGTTTCTTTACACAAGAGATAAGGGAGAGAGAGCATCCCCCCCCCGGCTTGCCTGTAAAATCCTTTTAAACTCACCCAAGCTGCTCCGCGACTGAATACAGCCAGGTTTCAGCGGCGCAACCAACAAGCGTACAACAGAAATACCCCCTCCCTTTCTTCGCTAAAAGCGCGGCGATTTAGCGACACATGCCAGGATCCACTTGTCGTGGGTCTTTTGGAGGGAGGAAAACAGAATTTGAGGGCAAGAAAAACGGACCCTCTCCTTGCCGGTGCGTGGCGTGTTTCAACGTGCCAAAGTGCCCCTACCGAACTGAACCTGCCACGCTGAAAATCAAATTGGCACTGACGTAAAAAAAAAGAACCGGGGAGTGAGTGGTTTCAAGAACACCATATAGCACCACCATCCCGCTCATATTACTGGATGGACTATTCCTCGATGTTGCTAGACGCTACCAAGAACCTAACCTTCCCGCGGCCCTTCCTCCAATCGCCACTTTAAACTTTGGCGAAACGCGTTGCACTAAGTTCCTTCGCTTATTCGTTTTTGGATCGCTCGCTCGACCTTTCTTCTAGCGGTTGGGGAAAAGGAAGCCCTGCAAGGGAGAGACTTTTTTTTAAAAGGACGCCGTTTTACCTGCGAAGGGGTCGCGCGGCTGGTCTGCAGCTGGATCTCACCCAAACCCGACTGGGTCAGGAAGGTGGAGAGCGAAGCAGCTCAGTCCCGGCATTGTACTGGTTTAAGGATCACCGCCAAGGTCTGGCTTGGTTCCATCGCTGGCAAGAGCCAAGCTCGTCCTCATAATCACACCGCTCCGGGCGAGCGTGAGCAGGCGATTCCCCGGAGATGCTCGCTCACCCGGCCGTTCGATCGCCGGGCCCCGCGACGCAAGTCCAGCTGGCACGCTTGGAAATCTTCTGCTCCTTCTTCCTCACCCCGAAGCAGATTTCTCCGGAGAGGGTCGAGGTCCGGGGCCTAAGATAAAACGCAGTTGAACGTCTTCCCAAATGAGCCGGAAAGGCTTCTAGCGAGAGTAGCTACCACAGCAGCAGCCACACGCTGCCTCCAACGCCCAGCGCCTTCCTCGAAATTCCGCCGTCTAGCAAAGAGCGGGAGGCAGCACCGGCCGCTTAACCCTTTGCGGGCGTGACGCTTAAAGGAACAGCGGAGCCGCGTTCCTACGTTCCTCCTGCCGGCGGACGGGGTTTTGTTATGACTGGCCCCACCGTGACTGGAGAGAGAGGCTTGCTTGAGGAAGCGCACACACGCACGCACACGCTAGGGGGGGGGGGGGAAAGGCGGGGGGAGGAGGGAAGTAAAGCCCCACCCCGGGCAGAATTGCTTTGCGGATTAGCTGTCCCTTCGAAAGGAAGGAAGGAAGGAATGAACGGCAGGGCTGAACTGTGCCTTAACTCGAGAGAAGGGGAGGAGGAGAGATCTAGTGACATCACGATTTAATGAACCTTCCCACCTGCTCAAGTCTTCGCCCCACTCTTTTTCAGCCGGGCGGGTCTGCACACTCGGTTAAAGAAAACAATTCCGACCATTTTCCGGGATTAATTTCCCCCCCAAAACCGTTGCAGCGCGCGCCGAAGGAGTTTTGCCAAGGCGTTTTGTGCAACCGTTTTCTACCTCAAATCTCTCCCTTTCTCTCTTCTAATAGACCTAAGAGGAAACAAAAGTTTTACTTGAACCTCGATCTGCTTCGCTGTTCGGAGATGGGATGCGAATTAAAAAAATGATCGTCGGGTCGAATACACCTTGGGAACTTCTTTGATGGCGTTAACTCGCTCCCACTCCATATTTTATACAGCCTCATGTCTACCCCTCCATTTACAGAGCAACAATTGTTTTCCTGCTTAATCCAGCTCCAAACCATAATTGCTAAGCTTCTTGCATCCTTTCTCGCCCCTTCTCCCTTTTTCTGGTCAGTCTGCACAGACTGTACGGCCACGTTAGCTTTGACGTGCCAGTAGTTTAGGAGGGGGGGGGTGTACATCATGTACATCACTATCCTCCAAATTACAATACACTTCCATTGGCCAGCCTGGACATCAAGGAGAGTCCGGAAAGAGCTTTCTCCAATTCAGCCACAACTGAGTTCATAGACAGGAGGAACCTCCAAGCTGTAAACCCTGAGGCACACATCTTGTTCCTTTCGAATATCTCTTTCAAGCCTAATTCGAACCGAAGACAAGAAAGTGGCTTTGCCTCTCGGGTACGTGTGTGTGTGTGTGTGTGTGTTTATGGGCGCGCGCGCGCACTCAAGTCGTGTGTACATTTGCTGGTGTGGAAGCGTCGAATTCCTCAAGAGAAATTCGTCTCTGAAAAAAAAAAACGGGAGAGGCGTTTTGCAAAGAACGCGTTTCTTCGGGACGCAAGGAGGAGGCTGTTTGCAATAAGGGGGCGAAAGCGGGGGGGGGGGAGCGCAGACGACACAGGCGATCGGAAGGGCCGTCGCTGCGTTTCCCTTGGAAAGGCGGGAAGGAGTCGTCCCGTTGGCCTCGAGAGTTTTGATCCGAGCTGAACATCTTCTGACAAGACCGTGGAAGCGACGGCGGGATTGGTAACGTGCGGCCGCTGTGCGAGAAGGGCCAAGGGAAGAGCCGAGCGGGCGCGCAGGGTTTGAATCGTCGCGCTGCAAGTCCCTCGCCTTAGCCAAGATGGCAGTAGAGCACCGGAGGCTGGAGGAAGGCGCGTTCGCTTGCCGCTCGCAGCGCCGGGGAGAGCCGACGAGCGAGGACAGGGGTAGGCAACCTCGGCTCTTTTATGACTCATGGACTTCAACTCCCAGAATTCCCGAGTCAGCTATGCTGACTCGGGAATTCTGGGAGTTGAAGTCCATGAGTCATAAAAGAGCCGAGGTTGCCTACCCCTGAGCGAGGACATGTTCTCCTTAGCCGCCTAGCCCACGCTTCTTCCCCGCCCCTCTTTGGCTTTCATGTGGGATGATTTATCTCTCTAGATTCCCCGCTCCCCGCTTTTGGGTATTATTTATTTATCTTGGCTATTGCTCGATTACTTGGCTTTTTTAAAACCCTGCTTTAAAACAAGGGCTGTTTTGCACTGTATTCTGTTCGGATCTTTTTGTAGTTGGGGGGAGGGGGGAGGAAATCACCCAGGAAAGGTCGAATTGGATGTCGGAACAGTAGCGGGCGATGTGTGGCCCTCTAGATGTGGCTGAGCTCCCACAGTCTCTTCCCATTATCCATAAGAAAAATCAACCAAGCTGCCTGCAGAAATGGACCAAACAGGTGCTCTTTGTTGACCGATTAATCAAGTCATTCATAAGGCTGCAATCGTCTCCATACAAGCCCTCTTGGGTTTAATCCAGCCCAGCTTTCTCAGAGCCATTCAGTCTCTTCGTTCAAGGAGGGGGGGGGAAATGAAAGTCAGTTCTGCTTTCTTATGGGGAAGAAGAATTAACCCCAACCAAATGTAAAATAATAATGTGAAATTCAATCAGTCTATAAAGCAAGAGAAAGAAGATTTGTGTCTCTACAGCTGTGGGGGAACTACCCTTTCCAGCAATTCACAATAATGGCCAGGCTGCTAGAAATACAGCTCAGCCCTCTGTCCCTACCCCCCCCCCCATCTAAATGATGAGGAAAATATTGTTACCATGGAAATGGAGTGCGTGTGGGAAGGGGGAACTATTACTAAAGATTTCCTTCCACTAAAATAAAATAAATAAAGGGAGGCATCTACTCTAGTAGAAAATAAGTAATCTTCAAAAGGCTACCAACTAAGTGATATCAACTGGTCTTCCGCTGCATTAGAAATCAGTGCAGCCTTCTTCCAAGTATGGATGCTTTGGACCAGATGAAAACAGATCACACACGTTTTATAAATAAATAATTTGTTCTGAGAACTCTGCTATTGAGCAATATGAACTAGCGACCACTTTCCTTTCTATCTCTTTACTTGCAAACATAAGTAAAAAAAGTCTGCATTATTTGTATGAATAAATAATCTAGAATTTGGCAGAAACCCAGGTTTAATATTATATTGCACTTGAACCAGAACACAGAACCCTAATAATAACTTTGAAGGTTTTTTAAGAAGAGATTGGACAGGCATTTGTCACATAGGGTCTCTGGGCTGAGCAGGCAGTTGGACTAGAACACCTCCAAGTTCCTTCCAACTCTGTTATTCTGTTAAACTTCTAAGCTCAGCCTTGCTCTATATATTACAGACTCTACTCTGGCTTTGCTTCCATGCTAAATTAGATCAGTTACAACAGTAATGCTTGGTTAGCATTAAGCTTGGTTATTTTTCCACCTTAATGACTTACAATGTTTTTTTTTTTAATCCAGAGTCATTGCCCGTATGATTCAGTGCACTGCAAATCCATAGTATAGACTAGGAATTAAATAATTCAGGCCAAGCTTGTTATTCCTCACATAGCTGTTTACTGACAAAGGTTCTCAGGGTTTTAGACAGAAGGCTATTCAAACCCTCTCTAGAGACTGAATGTGGGCCCTCTCTGAGGATTAGCTACTGCATTACTCTTAACCTATGCAGGGCCTTCTCTGGGGAACTGAAAGTCACCCGCACTCATCATTTTAAAGCAAAGAGCCCCTTCAACCAGGCCTTTTCAGATGAGTTCATGAAGATTCTAATTGGATAAAGGATAAATGTAGTTGTCTTTTAATGAGTTTTAACTGCTACTTTTATTTTGCCTCTAGCTGCCTTGAACATTCTAGGAGTAGAAAGGTGAGTAAAGTTTTAAATAATAAGGCAAAGAAAGGTCTTTCGTGAATCAAGCTCAATTTCTAGCAATTTCATAGGCAAATTTATTTAGCTTTCTTACTAAAAATGCAGATATGGTTTACCAATGCTTTCTTCCAGGATTTGTTCATAGCTACAGCTACCTGGTAATTTCTCCTCCAAGTACTAATCAAATATATTCCTTCTTATCTTTTTAAAATCAGCTAGGTTGCAGTCCTAAACTGAAAGGAAAAAAAAGTGTAAGGGAGGAGGGCTTAGCACACTGAAAGGAAATAAAGACAAACGGATAGATATAAGAATATTAAGATATGTTTTATTAATAAGACTTTGTAAAAGCTTCCTGATGCTCTAGAACAGGGGTGTCAAACTCACAACGTCACATGACATGTCACGACGTATCGTGACTTTTTTTCCATTGCCAGCAATGGGATGAGTGCGGTTTCGCCATGACGCATCTAGTCTACAGGCCAGAATCTACTAGATTTCCTTCTTCCTGAACAGAAAAAAACAACAACCAGGTTGAGTGAAGGTTTTTGAATCAATTCAGGATTGCTTGGAACCCTACCTCAAAAGAATTCAAGTCTGCCCAAAATTGTCCAGGCTTGCTTTAGTTTGGAATTTGTCCTAGTTGATGGATATTTCACATGTCCCTATTCTTTCTCGTGGGAAACTATTATATAGTACATTGGCTGTTAATTCTTATACATTCTGAATGTGACTATGTCAAGCTTGGCTTCTCTTAATTCTTCAGTTTGCAAATACGAATACTGGGGGAGAAGTATAATCGGTATAGATTCCAAATGCTAATGAGAAATGTACAGTCTTCAACAGCTACTTCTCCACCTAGTTACTTACCCACCTATCTACCTATCCATCTGTTGGAGACAGACTTCTTCCCAGCACACAGATGGATATCAGTAGCCAATTACAGGGATGCTATGGAAAAGTAGTTTCCAGAGCATCCAGAAAGAGAAGAATTAGGTGCTATATTTGGTCATTTGATATTGAGAAAATTAACTCGCAATCTTCTGGTTGTCCATATAATATACTGGAGCTCTAATATCCATTTTTCTTGAAAGAATTATCACTTTTCTTCTGTTCCTCCTTCCATATTACTTGATAATATTTTTTAGCAAGAAAGTTACAAAGATATTATCTAGTTACAGTCCACTCTATGCCTTCAGGTGCAGCAATTTATTCACTTGACAGATTTTACTTTTTAACAATTAGCTTTTGATAGAAACATGGATATTCACGTATCAGAATTATTTCTCACAATTCCTCAATATCTCTTCCCATGGGATATAGACTTCACAGGATGCTCACAGAGATTTCATCTCTGAAACATCACAAGGGTGTGCCAACAGTTTTTCAGCTTGCAGAGTTCCTTTTTTTTTGTTTTTTTCTTTAAATTCAATCACAGGTATATCTCCAAAAATAAATCCAATAAGTATTACACTCTGATGATAAGAGCAGCAAAACATAGTTATTTATTTATGTATTTATTTTTACTTTTACTGCATCTGTGAATTGCCATCTGCCAATCCTTTATGGTAATCTTGTCATTTTGGGGATGGATGGTTCAGAAAGCCACCTGAAGGGCCACTGTGGGGGGGTTTTCAAGGCATCTGTCAAAGAAAATCCATCACATTTGCTCTAAGTTGGAGCGGGACAGGTTGTGTAAGCCTTGTTGAGTTCATTGAAGTAGGATCTAGCAAGTTTATCAAGGAATTGTTTGACTCTGTTGACCCAGAAAAGAAGATATAGACTGTGCACAATTAGTACAACCATTGGTGTGTTAGATCCATATCCTTCCTATTTGATCAAGGTATTCCAAGAGGTGAAAGATAGAGGGTCCAAGCATTGTAGAACTCATCCTTGAGAGAGATATTGATTCCATTTGTAATTAAGGCAGTGGTAGTCCATCCCCTCTTCACTGGACACGGAGTGTTGCTTAATTTCTTCCCATCTCCAATTTTCCTTTTTGTGTGAAGGTTACTAGGAAGATGGTTGGCCTGCAGCTTCAGCAGGCTCTGGAACTAAATTATCTTGACCCTTTTAATTGGGTTTCAAGTTTGGCCACCAAAACATTCTTGTTAATGGTCCATGGTGGGAATACATCTATCTTCTCCCTCATTGATCACTTGGTAGTCATCAGTACCATTGATCATGAAATTCTTCTAAACCAATCAGGGGGTTGAGAATGGGAAGGACGTCGTTGCACTGGTTCTTTTCCAATCAGTTGTTCCAGTCACTGTTAGGTGGGTGTGGGTGATGTGAATGAGTCATACAGCCATTAGTCCATGTTGAGCCTTACTTCGGGGCTCATTTCTCTCTCTGATCCTGTTTAACATTTTCCTGAAGCCATTGGGTAAGGTTATCCATTTGCACAAAATTAGGTACCCTAAGTAACCGGTCATAGCTTTCAATTCTTGACATCCAAGCCATGGTACTAAAGTTTTGCTTCATATCTATGGAGATCTGGAAGTTAAAAAAAAAAAGCTCTGGCTCAACTATAACAATCTTGACTTCACCTAAAGTCAAGAGATGTCCAACTTTGGTTCTAAATGGCATTGGTTTAGCTAGACCTGGACTCCCCTGAACTCATAGATTCTTCTTGAAAAGCAAATAGGGAAAAAATAGATTTATACCATTATACAACTCCCTCTTCTGCATCAATTGCACCCATTCCTGGATGGGGAGGCCTTACAATCATTCATGCTGGACCCGTGTCCCTCCTGGCTGGTACTGGCCTCCCGGGAGGTTACACGAGGCTGGCTCCAGGAAATCGTCAACGCTTCTTTGAGTGAGGGGTTCTTGCCGGCTGCCTTGAAAGAGGCTGTGGTGAGGCCCCTCCTCAAGAAGCCCTCCCTGGACCCGGCTACTTTGGCCAACTACCGGCCTGTCTCCAACCTTCGCT